AAAAAGAAGGGGGGGGCGGGTATGTCCTTGCAAAAGGAAGGATACCTGTAGGTATTATATTAGATGTTTCAGTAAAAAAAGGAGGAGTGGGTTAAAGCGCCAGGTGATTTTAAAAGAATAAATTGCGGAAGGGGGGGTTTGGGGTCGGGGATGTTTTGGTTTAAGGGAGCAGGAAGAATGTGTAAAAAATTGCAAAGGTGAATAGACAATGTGTATGTTGGTTGGGGGGGGGGGGTGTCTGTTGTAAGTACAGCCGAAGCTGCCAGGAGAAAAGCGATCACCTTAGGCTGAGAGATGTGAGGGACTGAGATACAAAATCCGCTACATCCATTTTAACGCTTTTGAGAAAATCAGCTTTTTTTAATGCTGCTGTACGCATGAACATGCGTAAAAAGAAGATTTTGTGGTAGCTTTTATGAAGTATGTGTTTGTTTTTATCCTAAATAAAACACTTTGTGCATCTAGTGGTTAGGCTACCGGACTCATAATCATGAGGTTTCTGGTTCGGGGGTTCGATCCGTGGGCCCGACTTTATGTCCTTGGGAAAGGCACTTTACACAAATTTTCCTCACTTCACCCAGGTGAAAATGGGTACCCAGCTATAGGCAGTGAAAGGTCTTGTCAGTTTTTTAGTGTTTGAGCGCTTAACCAGCTGCTTGCACTGTATGCTTCCCGGGAAGCTGAGAAGGTTTCTGAGTGTTCTATGGTCTTCTGGGGTAATAATATAGTGTAAAGCGCATAGAGCTTGCTTTGGAGTGGGGACATGCGCCATACAAATGCTATTTATTATTATTAATATTATTATTATTATTATTATTATTCTAGCTGGTAACAATGTGCATTTGTAAGCAAAAAATCAGGATTTTTTCTAAAATGTCGCTTAGCTGGTTTTGCATCTCACCCCTCATGTACTCCTCTTGGACAATGACATTACAGTATAATATAGAAAATAATGCAAAGACAGGGGAGTGGAGGCATGGGATATAGTCATTTGAACAGGTGATTGTCTTGAACAGGTGATTGTTAGTACTTGTTAGATTGCATTTTGGGGGAGTCCGATCCAGACTAGGGTTAATAATAGTTCATCGTAGTTTGACGCCATTGCCGTCTCGTTTTATTTTTAAAGCTAAGGTTGATAGATCACTTTCATGTTGTTTTTTTTTTATCCTTAATATTTTTTTGTTTTCCTTCCTCCTCAGATGCAACATCAAGCCTATGAAGAAGTGAGGGCACAGACGTTTCAACACCTCTGTTACAGTTACAGCATTAAGACGGGAGAGTTTTGGAAAGATGCTGTTTTTCCATGCCTGATTATCAAACCATCGATTATGTCCAATGCCAGTCTCCCCCACTTTTCCCTTTTTCTCCTTTCTCATAGAAAAGAAACCAACGAGCAAAACAAAGCGTGGCCAAATAATGTGATATGGTCACATGTCATGTCCAGGAAATGAACCCTGTACATCATTTCATGATACAATTTTGTTTTACCTTACATTACAAAAAATATAAATATGAGTGCCATTTTTCATTGGCCCAAATCAATTTCTGCTGAGAGTTTTCAGATAAAGCCCACAAACAAATCTGACCTCATGGGGACAACTTACAATCTAGTTTCGTTCTATTTCGTTATACCCTTCCTAGTTTATAACTAGTGCCTAAATCGGAGTTCTGATTTGGGCGCTTTACATTTTTTAAATATTCTCAAAAAAGGTTTAAAAAATTACTTGCACATTTGTGGAATAATGCTGACACATAACAGCGGATAGAAATAGACCTTTTTTCCTTTCTCCTCCTCCTCTTCCTCCCCCCCCCCCCCCCCCCCGTAAATTTATGTTGTTGTTTTTGGAGGGTTTTTTAAGAAATTACTTTTTGTGAACAAAGGTCACCTTTGTAATGTCAGCTTTGTGAGTTGCAAATTGTTTACCATAGTGACACCTTATTTGTAGAGACAGCTGTTCTGTATTTTCATCGATTATTACGTTGATAACAATGAAAAGTATCTCAGTGGCTATCATGCTGTACTACAAAGTGGATGTCCCTGGTTCAAATCCCAGACTAGGCATCCCTGAACTTCGGTTATTTTTGTGGAGTTTGCAAGGCTTTCAACCGATTTGGTTCTGTCCAATAAGTGATGGCCGTTAAATTTGATGGTCCCACCTGTCGCATATTCTACATGTATTGTAATAGTGTTGATAGGGGCGCTAGACTCAAACATGGCGTGGGTGTTTGGCAGGTGCTCTGGTAAGAATTGCTCTTTCTTTGATATCAAGCATACGTTTGTTCCTTATTTCTCTTCCTTCTTTTTGCATTTGTTACTCTCTAAATAACACTTCTAATCTTCAGCACTTATATGACTTAATTGTGTCGCAAGTGCAGTAAAACTCATACTTAAACTAAAAGCTCATTCAATTATTTACCAGAAAGGGAAGTGTCAAAAGTGACAGATTGTACCAGCATTTACTTTGAGACAGGTTTTGCTGTTGACTAGTTTGTTATTAATTCATTTTAGAGGATGCAGAGAAATTTTATTTTTAATAAGTTTGTTTTACGAAGGGCTTCAGATTCATAGCAGAGATGTAAGCTTCGAACACCTAGATGGTTTCTTTCAGATGGTTGCTGTTTACATGTGCTGTATCGTCTGTGACATTCTACAATCACCCAAATCAATTTCTAGGGGTTTCCAGATAAATCTATTATTAGAACAATGGCGTGAAATGGAATTTACTGGAGAGTTTCACTTTGTTTTGTCACTTCCTTCCAATTTTTTTGAGTGAAATATCACAAGCACCCCAGTCACAGTTTTGATTTTGGCGTCGTTTTCAATTTTGATTTTCTCCACACATTATATATATAATGATGTAGGCACTTTAAAAATCACACTTACTAAAGTGTTTGTTTGTCTAAGGATGTGCATTTGTGAGGCATGCATACAAAATGAGTTACTTCTCACGATCTACGAATGGAGATATCTACTGAAAATTGACTCAGGGTTCAAAGTTGCGAATTTTCAACTGTTACCAATTTCTTCAAGTTTATCACATTAATAAATTGTACAAACTCAACCTATAAATTTGACATTTCTATGTCCATAGGGCTAAGATCCTAGAAGTAAGTAATTTTCACATCACACCTCACATTTGTTTGCCTATTTGTTTGCCAAAAGATGTGTGTTACGAGCCAGCTTTTGTTCATAGTGTCAGTTTGTTACTTTAGAAGAAATCCCCCAGTATAAAAACCCGAAGAAAGTAAAAAAAACGTAAGTGTAAGATAAGAGAATTGTATAATAAGTGGAACTTTGTACCTTGAAAATGTCATGGTGATATTTTTCTTACATAATCATTATTTTACACAAAGACAAGTGATGTAAACACATTTTTTTACCAGCATGATGATTACAGCAACTTTTTGGTAAAGAGATTAGATTTCTACAAATGTGTATCACTTGCTTCCATGACATAATAACATTCTTGCATTCCAATTGTGATGGTTTTGAAGTTACAGAGAAGGGAATTTTTTTAACAAGTAGATATATGAAGTGGGCCTTGCGGCTATGTGTGGTCATATTGTTTAGAGGGTAGTAGGGACAAAAACACTTTTGGTTATAAGTTATGATGAATAATTAATGAATGTACTGCAATGTATCAAATGCTCAGAGTAAGACTCTGTCGTACCTCACTTTTCAAAGCAGCATCTGTGGTGTGACAGTTAGTTGGCTCTTCACAAGAAAATTTTTAGCGAGTATCGGCTTTTTTGCTTAGAATTTTGTATCCCTCTCATCCCAGTTGGGGTCGAAGCCATGCCTCTTAAGTTATAATCTAAATTGTGTAATGGGGCGAAAAAATCACCAGCTTGTTTTAAAAAACCACTTTTCAAAATGGTGTAGGCTTATGGTGGAGTCTAGCAGTATATCGACAGCTTGCTTCGATGAAGGCGTGGAGTCTGACTAACCTACTGTAGAATTCCTTTTACCATGGACTATTACCTGTAGAACTACGACGTAAGTGTGTCAACCTATTTCAATCAAATATGTCCCGAAGAATTCGCTATAGCCAGGAAAGGACAGGAAATCAGAAAGCTCCTTTGTTTAATTCACTTATGACTACATGTAGTTGAAAAATGAATTTGGCCATAATAGTAATAGTAGTAGCCTAGTTGTAAATGTGACTGGCATTGTACAACCACGAATATGACTCATTGAGATGTCTTGTATTGTTGACGTCAGAAACATGAATTGTGATTATGTCGCTCATTGTTGACATCACAACCATGGGTTGAGAGATGTCTCTTTTTGTTGACGTCACAAACGTGAATTTTGAGATGTCTCTTATTGTCAATGGGTCATTCCTTGGTGGGAATTGCTTCCCTTTTTGTTGTTGTTGTTTTGTTTTTTTTCTTTCTTTCTCTTTTTGGGTTTTTTTTTCAAGTTTCAACGATTTCTGTTCTCCTTGCCACGTCTGCTCCCTCGGACTTTTGCTTTGCCTTGTGTGTCTGTGTATGTTTGTGTGTGCTTGTGTGTCAGTGTCTGTGTGTAATGTATGTGTGTGTGTGTGACTATGTGTGCATGTGTGTCTGTGTGTGTGTGTGTGTGTGTGGATTCATGTGTGCGTGACTGACAGACCTGTCATTTGTCTTAGAATGGTGAAAAATAAACACTTTTCTAGAAATGATCTCAAAATGTGTTTGCTTGTTGGTTTTTTCTTTACTGTTCCTGTGTGTAAACCGACTTTTCAGTTCAATTTCATTAGTTTGGATGTTTACTTTTAAGAGGGATAGGGGTGGGGGGGGATGTATTTTTACCTACTGTCATGCACACATAATTCAAGCACGTCCAGTATTGACTCATACATGTAATTTTAAATGTGTTCGACACTTTCATATATTCAGATTAACCGATATAACGAGAACGGGAGCTCGTGGCCTAATAAAGGTACAGTGTTCGCCCCTCTCTCAATAGGTCCCGGATTTGAAACCTGACAACACGCCCCCTGGGGCAGTGCCACTAACTGTAGTGTCTTTAGGCCATTCCCAAAGGGGGGGGGGACATTTCTCATGAAGCACAGTAGAATTGTAAATGGGCTGATTCATCATGTCACGCTCATAACTGTGCCTGATCTGCAACAGGGAGCTGCTGCTTTTTCTTTCCTAATTCTCACTATTGTCATTTTCCTCTGTTTCTTTTGTATGTTTTTCACACTCTTGTGACCTGCTATTTCCGGGGTGCCTTGATAGTCGAAGCAGACCTTGTGCTGTTAAGGCTAGAAAGGTGAGCAGAGTAAGTCTGATTCCCTGTAAGGACTTCTCTGTTGACACCCACCCCTTGACGCTCATATTACCTTGTGCTATTTCGAGCCGTAAATCCCTCTACTAAAAAAAACAAACCTGACAACAATGGAAAGATTTTTTTCTCTGACATTTGATATTCTTTCAACCACGTGTTCTTTCGTCTGCTCTCGTCTCCATTTTTCTGCCCTCCTCCCCCTTTTGCCCCCTTCTCTGGACTCCTGGCTATTTCTTCTGCAGCCTTTCTACTGCTTCTCCTTGGCCTCTTTTTACTGCTGTCTTTCAGCCTCACCTCTAATCCTACGGTAGGTAAGATCTAACACCTAGCTCTCTTGGATAAGAGCGAAAAAATATCAGATTTCGTGTGCAAGTTGCTATGATGCCGTATCCTTCTCAGTCCGGGTTGGTTCTGACAGGTAGGGTGGAAGCCCGCCTCCTATGTGATCTAAATTGTGTAGATGGAGCTGTTAAAAACTCCTACATTTTAAAAAAAATGACAATACACAAAATGAAGAGACAGAGTTCTCGAGGTTGATCGAGGCTTTTTAAGGGAACTTCAGAAGTTTCTTCAGCACTTTTCTTTATCGAACGAACTGCCTAATCGCAAGACCGCTGCTGCCCAAAGGTTTCAAGTTGAATGCTTTCTTTGTATCTTTGATCAACGAACAACGCTCCAACATTTCTCGTGGGTGGTTGGTGGGTGCCCTGGTATGTTTTGCTCCTTCTTTCCTATCAAATATCTATCGTCCTCATCTCTCCTCATTCTTTTTTATTGTTTGTTACTCTCTTGTAACATCTAGTATCTTGGGCACTTCTATGACTTTTTCCTGTTGAAAGTACCATACATAAAACTCTTCTTCTTCTGCTCCTGTAGATTTGTCATCCGTTAGACCGCCTCTGAGAGATAACAACTATTTTCCTCCACTTCTCTCGGTTCTCTACTTTCCACAGTGTGTCCTGCAGCTCCATGGCTGTCCATTCTCGGATGCTATCTTCCCATCTCTTCTTCTGTCTGCCTCTCCCTTGTCCTCCCTGCACAGTGCCTAGTAGAATGGTTTTTGCAAAGCCTGAAGAGCGAGTGATACGGCCATATTATGTCAGCTTGCGTTGTTTGACCAGTGATAGAAGGTCGGTGTAAGGCCCGATTACATAATATCGTATATGTCGTTTCACTTCTTCATTGGTGACATGGTCCCTGTGTGAGATGATAAGCAGTTTACGGAAGCATCTCACCTTAACAGCTTTTACTTTTATTCTTCTCTGAGTCTTCTGCCAGGGTCCAGGACTCACGTGCATATTTAGAAATTGTATATTGGTGTCACACAGGAGAACATAAGCTTAATATTTGAGTTTAGGGCTAGGTTTCTGTTTCTCCAGATATATGTTTGGGTTTGGTTAGCGCGACTGTGGCCTGTGCTATTCTGGGGAGCATTTCGGGTTTTGGAAATGATTGATCCTAAGTACATGTATTTTGAACAGCGCCTGATTTTACCACGATGCCTCGCATATTTTTCAGCATCACAAGACTTTCCTAGTATGTAATATTGTTTCCCCTTGTTGTCTCAATAAGAACGAGGCATGCCCTGAAGACACTTCGGAAGTTTTTCACACTTTTCCCTCCAGGCTCATGGACTAGCGGATCACTGGAGGGCCATACTTATTTTCTGTCTCTCTGCTCTTTCTGTCTTTTTGTCTGTCTGTCTTGGTTTTGGATCACAGGAGGGTCATGCTTCATGTCTGTCCTTCTGCTGTTTCTGTGTCACCTTTGCCTCTGATTTGTAAATATCTTTTTTAAAAGCGTAGATCTAAGCTTTATTCATCTTCACCATTTAAATCATGTAGAAAATGGAGTTTGGCCATTCCTGCCAAGACAAAATATGCGAGCTGTGAGGGATACAACGTCTTAGTAGACAGAGGAATATACTTCATAAATGTAAATGAGTCCGCTAAGCCACAATCTCATAGACTACCGGAATTTCATCAGTTAAGCGCCGTGTTTTCGGTTTAAAAAGATTGCTCAATATAATATTATGGTGAAAGCAAAAACACATTTTTAGTTACGGTTGGGTTAAATGGGTGTTTGTTTGGGTTTTTTTATTTTTTAAATATTATTATTAAACATTATTAGTCGTTTCCAAGACTGTTGCTGCTGTTGTTGTTGTTGTTGTTGTTGTTGTTGTTGTTGTTGTTGTTGTTGTTGTTGTTGTTATTGTTGTTGTTGTTGTACAAGTGGTTAAAAAAAGTTGAAAACGCAGTAATAAAGAAAATGTTAAGAGAACGCTTTTTGTATTTTAAAATGCTAACAACGTTTTATTTCAAAAACATCAAATTTATTTTGCTTTAAAAAATGTTAACAACTCTCTGTTCACTAGTCCAAAAAGTTCAAAAACATCTTTCTTCAGACTTCGTTCGGAAGTGTTGTGTTTCTTTTTTTCTGTTTTTCTATTTTTAAAATTTTCATTGTTTTTTTGTTGTTTTTTTTTTATTGATTGTTGTTTTGGTTTTTTTTCTGTGTGTGTGAGTTAAAAATTGGGACATTGTTCTAAAACAATACAAGTACAGACGCGCAGTTACAGAAAGTTGCCCCATGTCGGATCCAGCAGATTAACTTTTTTTTTCTTTTTTAAGAAAGGCATGTGGTTCTACTATCTACTGGAAAATGAAGGTAGGTGTACCATTTTCCATTCTACTAGGAAACAAAAACATAACGAGACAGCGGCAGATGTTGACAGCACGTTTGTTGTTTGTTTTTCCCATCATGTAAGAAAATAGCAACGGAGATGTGTGCGGTGGTGGGTGGAGGGCGCTACTGGTACGTTCTTATATTGCACTTATTTACTCTTCCTCTGTCTGTCTGTATGTCTGTCTGTCTGTCTATTTGTCTGTCATTCTGTCTGTCTGTCTGTCTGTCTGTCTGTCATTCTGTCTGTCTGTCTATTTGTCTGTCTATCTGTCTGTCAGTCAGTTTATTTGTCTGTCTGTCTGTCTGTCAGTCAGTCTATTTGTCTGTCTGTCTGTCTGCCAGTCTTACTTTTGTCGAGCACTAAAGGACCTTTATCATGTCGATGTGTTTATCTGTACTTAAACCCACAAACTAACAAAAAGAAATATGTGGTCAACAGAGACACACACATTATGTATACGCTGCTGTCTCGTCAAACAAACTCACTCAAATAATAATGTAATTTCTAGAGAGAATTTAGCCTTTAAAAAATCAGTACCCTTTCGTTAGGACTAAGATCTTAGCTAGTTTTAATGAAAGAATGCCGGATCTTTTTTTATATTGACTACCTTCTCTAGATCAACCATTTTAGAATATCATCATTCTTAAATAAAAAGAGTGATCTTTAGATTCTACTTTTTAATTAAAGAATGCTGTATAGCTCTTTTTTTTAATGTGACTGTATTCCCTCTATAAATCTGTTTGTTATATTTTTTTACTGGCCTTGTCTTGCATCATGTATAAAGCTGTCGTACTCTAATTCAGAGCTTAAACGCAACAGCAACAGCACAGCAACAGCAACGCAAAAAACAACAAAATAGTGTAATTCCGCTTGTTTCATAATATAGTCACTCTAATTAACCTTTCATACAAGTAATACATATATATATATATAT